AACACAAAGAACCTCAGATTTCATAACATCAAAGAACCTCAAATTTCATAACATCAAAGCATATCCGATTATGATTTTATAGATTATACATACACATTTTCTGATTTCAAAAATTATTAACATAAAAGGAGAAGATTAGCTTTACATGTTTTTGATGAATTAAAGTGATTGTAGTGGTTGAATGACGGGGAAAGCGAGATTGAGAAACTGATCGGAGATGGCGAGCTCTTTTTGGCCGGCGAGATGACGGCTAGATTGTCACAACTAGGAATTCTGATGCTTTGTAAACACTTAACAAGGACAACATTGTAACTAAAACTTGAAAGCATGTATGGTGCTTACTCAATGACAACAAAATTCCATCAAACACTCTATACAAACATTCAAATAGTCAACAAAAGGTTGGAAACCCTGAAAATCCCGGTTTAAGTCCATTTTGGACTAGGATTTCCTTATTGGGCCTAATGGACCAATAAGCTTCCAATTTGACTATTTTGGACTTAGAACTCTTAAATGGGCCCTAATTGGACCCATTTGCATGAAACCTAACATTTTGGGCCTTATAAGCCTAAAATGGACTAGTTTATCTTTAATGGGCCTTATTGGGCCATAATAAATCTAATTAGCCCTAATGGGCCATAAAACTCATTATTTGATGTATATTGGGCTGTGAACTACTCTAAAGGCCCAATGGGCCGAAAACCATCAAATTGGGCTTCACATTATGGGACTCAAGCACTAAAGGCCCAAGTCATTTCTCCTCTCTCTCCCTCTCGGCCCAAATGAAATAAAAAAAAGAAAAAAGAAAAGAAGCATTAAGGGGAGAATTAATTAGGAAGTGCCACCTCCATATTACCTTTCATATTCCCATGTATGGACCAACATACATCCATGCACCATCATTTCACTCCTCTCTCTCCCATCTCTTATTACTTTCGGCCGAGAGGAGACACACACACACATTGCACAAATTCTCTCATTTTCTCTCAAAGAATCATCTCCCTTCTTCCTTCAAATAAAATCTCAAAAATTTAGCTTGGATTCAAGGATCTTCTTCAAGTGTTGTCAATCTTTGGTAAGTGCTATCAACCACAAACATCTTCTTCCATTACAACATCTATAACTCTTTCTTACAAAGTTTTATTCCATAAACACCTTAGAAGCTTCATAAGTTCGAAATCAACCCAAGAAAGCTTGCTAGCGCCGAAATTAGTATCAAACTCTTCCATTTATTTCTTCAAACCGAAACGACAAGCAAAGGTGAGTTCATACCCCTCTATTTTCAGTTTTCACAAGTTTTATGGGGGAGAATACAAGTAAAATGTGTAGATCTATGTGTATGTGTATGTTATGTGTGATTTCAAGTGTTTATGTGGTAAATATGTGCCAAAAATGAAAGAAATCTCGAGATCTATAGCTCAAGGAGGAAAGATACGTGATCTAGGATGCATTACACTTAACAAGTCAAGAAAAATTATCATCTAAGGTTATAATAAGCATGTTACAACATAAAACTCATTTTTGGGCTATTTTTGTCAAATAAACAAAAGTTGGGATAAAGGTTGTCATTCACGGTTTTTATAAGGATCAAAAGGGTCAAAACAGTTCAAATGGAAGTTTTTATGAATATTATGCTCTTCAAAGGACTAAAAAATGTAAATTTTAGCCTATTGGGCCAAACTTTGGGCTTTTCGGCCCATAGGCCCAAAATTTGCAAAAAATATGGGTTTTAAGGGGTTGAAATGGTAAATTTCTCAAAACAGTGGGTAAAAAGGTAAATAAATCTATTTCAGGGGTTAAAATGACCCTTTTTGCCAAAAATGATTAAAAATACAAAGTTTTTGGATTTTGGGTCAAATTTGTAAAAGTTGCGAAAAGTTTGGACTATAAATGAAAATCTTTTTACTAAAGGGGCTGAAACTGCCAAAATGTAAACTTTGGGCTGAAAACATTATTTAAATAAGTTTTTGGGCCAAAGTGTCAAGAAAGATAGTTTAAGGACCTAAAATGTCATTTTTTTTTATAAAAAGGGACTAAAATTGTCATTTTTATTAAAGAATGGCTGAAAAGGTCAAACCAATATTTTTGAGTCAATTACTTTATTATTAAGATATTGGGTCAAAAATACCAAAAATCCTAACTAGGAATTTAGAATGGAAAAATGTGCATATATTTTTTCATTAATTCAAATATCGTTATAAAACAATCGACAAACTTCGTGCATTTGCGATTTAATAATTGATCAATCAGACCTTCCGATAATTATACCATACTTAAAACAAGTAAATATTCAAACTGTTGGGCTTGAAAGATTCTAATCATGCTTATTGGGCCTTCGTGACCCATTAACATGACTTTTGGGCCTAACAATAATAATATATGTTATTTGGGCCTCCTGTGACCCAATTTCATGCTTAAGAGACCCTCAATGGCAACTACATGCTGTTAGGCCTTAGTGGCCCACTAGCATTGCTAGTAAGGTCCAAATAAATCATATTGCGAATTAGCCCAACGCGCCCTTCGTATACTCGACAGCCTTGGATAACACACGCGATTAGTGGAACCTCGCAATTCTCTTCTCCTCGTCTGTTAGGCTTTACCTTCTATTTAAGTAAACAAAAATCAGGTCGTTAATCAAGGGTAATCAAATTCGTTTGGATTAAGTGAGTAATAACGGGCGACACGTTTAAGTGTCGCTCGTAGTCTGTAGTTATAATCAAAGTCTCCTGGAGGGAGAGCGAGAGTTTGTGTATAGATCTATACGGGGGTGACTCCCCCACACCTCAGTTGTTCGCTATAGTTAGACTCGGTCAGTCTAGGGTGACAAAATCTTAAGATCAATTCCGGCGTTCACTAGAATGCTAAGACAGACGAACTAGTCATTATCATGCATGGTTATAACGACTCACATAAAAATCCAATATCATCTAAGTAATCAAGGGAAATCATATTTAGTCGTTATGATGATATAATAATTCAAAACGATCATACTACTTATCGGAAAACATCGGGTTTTTCGGGGGAAATCAACATTAGTCACTTGTACTTTCAATAACTATAATGCAAAACCTCTCATTTATACACGTTTTGAAATCATTCATGCATAAACCTATGGATCTTCACACTTTTTGTATAAACAATTGCCGTTTCAGAAAATATCGGATTTTCTGAGTTTTTTTTTATAAACTACACAAAACATTTTTATATCAAACCTGCTTATGAACTCACCAACATTCCATATGTTGACGTTTTCAAAATAACCTGTATTCTCAAGTAACAGATAAACTGAAGAACAATACCAAGTGTATTAGGATGTTATGTTTTTGAAAAACTCTCAAACAATTTGCTGTGGAAATGTAATATTTAGACAATGTACTTGATATGAACAATGTCAGTTGTAATATATTGATGCATGGTGATGTTTATGTAATGTTTTCATGTATATACATTGTGATGATATTTCAATTTAAGTCACGCGAGCCCTCGAACGTTTCCGCCGTCTGGTTCGGGGGTGTGACATAGATGGTGGCGAGATGGCGACGACCGACAAGATGACGGGGAGCAGTCGATGGAGGAGGCGACGTTTTTTGGGTCTGCGCTTTTTTTTAAGGTCACGATAGAAGAATGGGTAACTAGGGAAGAAAGAATACAAATGGTAGGCGCATCTTTATTCCCAGTCAGCAAATGTTACAAAGCTGACTGGGTAAGAAAATTGAGTCAGACATCTGACCGAGAAAGCACACCATCAAACAACTAGTGTCTGACCGAGTCAACCCAAATCGCTGACTTAGACCAGTCAGACGGGTATCAAACACAACCTTAAAGATGATGCATGTTTCAAAAGGATTCAACCTAAGACAATATAGTTAATTTTATTTTATTTTAATAATGATAATGATTTTAAAATGTAAAAAATTATTATAAAATATTATTAGTTATTAAAAAAGGATTTTGGACAAAAAATTTACGTGTTTTATAATGACATGAACATTTTCACGATTATACAAATTATTTTGACGGTTTTTTATTACCAGGGTTAAAATTGTGAATTCTTAAATTTAAACGAACTAAAACTGCAACAAAACTAAAGTTTCATAACCGTGTTACGCTTCCATCACGTGAATCTACATCAGATGCTGGATCTGAAAAGTTATGAACACCGTTGATTCTTATGACGGCGTAATTCAACGGCCTAGATCTATCCTGCACTCTCACTCTATAAACCCACAAAGGAAAAAAATAAAAGAGACGGTCAGTCTCTCTCTCTCTCTCTCTCTAAAGAGTTCCAGTTCAACTTCGCTTGCATTTATGCCGTACGATCATATAGTCGTCGCTCGAATCAATCAGGAAGTTTCTGCGGCACTGTCGTTCTCCGGTTACTGATTTCCTAGGGCTTCAGCCACTGCATTCTTTCCACTTCACAAGCTTCAATTCACAGGATATTTCCGACCTAGGGTTATGTTATCGTTTCTGGTATCATTGGTGTTGATTAAAGGGCTATGAGTTCGAATCACCCGGTATAATCTATCGTGCGTATTGAAGCATGCTTCCTGCGTAAAATATCATTGTTTTCACTTTGCGAACGATAGAAGATTTTTGCGTTAAGATCAGGGTTTCCTCTTTCTCTGCCCCTCTTTCGATCGTCGCACGCTGTTATTTAAACTCGAGATGGCAAAATAGGTGAATTCGATATTTTAATTCAGAGTAGTTGTAATTCTACAAGAGAGTCGATTAATTGCATAATTTGAGCTTGCGCGAGACTTTATATTTCACGAACCGACGTATGCATGTGTAATACCCTAATCTAACCGGAAATGATTATCTAAATAGATACTGTCTTCCTTCTGCGGGAAGCGAGCCGCAGGGTATAGTCATGGATCTTTAGGACTAATTTGATGGTTTGTCGTGAAATTCCGGGGAACTTCCTAAGAAAAATATGTGCTAAGCAGTAGGTTGTCATATACAGCATTGTGGATCGGGTGTAAACTGTTAGGAGAGTCATGGCAAAGAAGGATAGGTTTCCTGATGCTTATTCCGGTGGATTTCCTCACAATGAAGAATCTGAAGGGTCTGGTTGTTCTGGACGTGATCATATGGAGACATCTGGCTATGAGAACTCAAGTGGCCATAGAAAGAAATGGATTAAGTTGAGCTCTGCATTGCATGATGGTTTTGGTGTGCCTATACAAAGCGTCCCCTTGTCAACACTGCCATCTTCTGACAAACAGAAGTGGTTACTTCGGTTGCGATCTGAACTTGATCAAGTGAGGACATTTCAGAAGAGAGTGGATGTGGACAGGGCTCATGTAACAATGTCATCTTCCAGCAATATCATTAGCTCCAACAAAGTTCAAGGAAACCTAACAAACTTGAGGAAATCAATTGATCCACAAGCTCAGAAGGCACGAGGCACAAATCCAGGTGTTAAAAGGTTACAATCTGTAAATGAACCAGCTTTACCAGAGACTTTCAGTCTACTTTTGAGGAAACAGTGTGAGAACTTGTTAAAGAAGTTAATGACGCATCAGCATGGTTGGGTGTTCAATAAACCTGTTGATGTTGTTGCCCTGAAAATTCCAGATTACTTCAACGTTATCAAGAAACCCATGGATTTAGGGACCATAAAAGTTAAACTCAGCTCAGGTAACTATTCAAATCCGCTTCAGTTTGCTGCTGATGTCAGGCTCACCTTCTCAAACGCGATGACATATAACCCTCCAGGCAATGATGTGCATATCATGGCAGATATTCTTAGTAAGTTTTTTGAACTAAGATGGAAGCCTATTGAGAAGAAACTACCAGCAAATGGTTCTCAACAACAACAACAACAACAACAACCACCAGTTCATGAAGTGATTGATTTAGTTAAGCCAATGCCTCCTTCAAAGAAGAGAAAAGTTACCTCAATACAAGAAAAGCTGTTGCCTGAGCCAGTTAAGTTGGTGATGACAAATGAAGAAAAACATAATCTAAGTAGGGAGTTGGAAACTCATATGAGTGATCTACCAGATAATATCATCGACTTTTTGAAGAAACATGGTTCAAATGGTAGTGAAGCTGGAGAAGATGAGATTGAGATTGATATTGATGTTCTTAATGATGTGGCTCTGTTTGAATTACGCAAGATGTTGGATGACCATGCTCGAGAGAAACAAACCCATGCAAAAGCAGAACCTTGTGTCATTGAGGTATTTATGTTTTTTTTTTCTCTCCTTCATTTATATATATAATATATAATAACCCATGACAAGATATCCCAAAACGATGATATTATATATCTTGTTACAAGTGCAGCTTTTAAATGAATCAGGGCTTAGTAACTCAACTATGCAGTTATACAAAGGTATAGTAGTTGTCTCCTTACTGTATTTGAGAAAGTGTGAGTTAACAGCAGGTTTTCATGCTTGTGTTTTAACATGTTACAGGGAATGATGTTGCGGATGAGGATGTAGATGCTGGTGGGAATGAGGCTCCTGTTTCAAGCTATCCTCCTGTTGAATTAGATAACAGAAACAACAACAAACAGACTACTTCAGGAGGCGTCTCTAGTGGTAATTAGGTTATTTATTTCTTTTTACTATGTTGTGTAAAAAATTCATTAGCATTTAATTTAAGAGTGGTTGGTTGGGTGTGAATTGTACCTTTGATGAGACTTGAGTGTTTGTTGACTGCAGATTCTGATTCTAGCAGTGCTTCTGAAAAGGAGGTAAAAGATGTTAAAGCTTCTACTTCGTTTACTGGGGCAAAGGTATATCTTAAGTTTCTAAATTGCAAGATAGCAGACCAACATTACAAGGCCTAGTTTTTTTATTTATATTTTATATTTTATATATATTTATGCAGCAGCAGGAGGATGAGGATAGGAATGGTGGTGGAACAGATTCGGATGAGAAGACAGACATGAAGCATTCAGCAGGAAATAGTGAGTCCTTTTATGAAATGAAGAATAATAGTAGTAGTATTTAAATAGACGATAAAAAAAGAGTTTTGGTGGTGATTTATAATTTATTTAGAGTGGGTCTCAGATGGTGAAGAAAATTCACAGCAGAGCCAGAAGCCAAACAAAATGAATGATAGTAGCCAGAAGGAGAAGGACGATGATGGTAAGAAGCACCGGATTTGGAGGAGAAAAATGAAAAATGAAAACTGTTGACTGTTGACTGTTGACTTGACTTATTTAGGGGAAGGGGATGAAAACGAGAGACAGGTGTCACCTGATAAGCTGTACAGGGCTGCACTTTTGAAAAACCGTTTTGCGGACACAATTCTAAAAGCTCGAGAGAAAACACTCCACCAGGACGAAAAAGCGGACCCCCAGCAACTTGAAAACCAAAAAAGGAAAGGTTGGTTAGCCCAAATAATATATATATTTTTAATTTTTTAAAACTTTATAAATCCACCACATGATATATCACATATCACATATGGGAATGGGTGTGTAGAAAAAGCGCGACTGCAAGCAGAAGCCAAGGCAGCAGAAGATGCTCGAAGGCGAGTGGAGGCGGAAGCTGCTGCCGAAGCAAAACGGAAAAGAGACCTGGAGAGGGAAGCAGCCCGACAAGCATTATTGAAGGTATTCCTTGTTTTTCTATTTCCAAACAAGTAGCAAGTAGTAACCTTGTTTGTTTATTTATAATTATATATACTTTTGGCAGATTGAAAAGACGGTTGAGATCGATGAGGCTTCTCGGTTTCTGAAAGACTTGGAAATGCTAAGGGCTGCAGAGCCAGACCAGATGTTACCGAGTTGCTTAGATGAGATAAGCCCTGGCCCTGAGTCACAGGATGGGTCTGGGTCAGGGTCGGGTTCGGGTTCGGGTTCGGGTTCAGGATTAGGGAGTTTTAAATTTGGAGGCACCAATGCTTTGGAACAACTAGGCTTATATATGAAAAGGGATGAAGATGAACATGAAGAAGAGGAAGAGGAAGAGGAAGAACCACTTGCTTTTGTGGGTGTTGGGGTAGTAAATAATGACGTCGAAGAGGGTGAAATCAACTGACTGCTGTTGCTGCTGCTTGCTGATAAATTATGCCATCATCATGACATGATACATGATACATGATACATGATTGTTGGCAAGTGCTGATGAATCAAGGAGCCAGCCAGGAGTAGCAAGTGTTGGCATCACATCACATCACATGCATATGCATGGCTCCAACAAAGCATCATGTAATGTAATCCTTTGTTTTGTCTTACAAGACTCTTGGTTTCGACTTTATTATCTTTCTATATATAACATTAATTAATTTATACCACTTATTCAAATTCAAATTTCCTAAACTATCTATCTTTAAATATTTTCCTTATGCTTTATCATCCTTCTCTTAGCTTTTCTTTTGCATTTCGCAAAATCCGACCATCAAAAAGGTTTCTCATCGTGATTTTTTTTTTCAAAAAGAAACCAAACATATGGTTGAACGTTTTACAGCAACTGGTTATTTGATTTTGATTATCTTTATCGTGTTGATCATTTTTCAATAGCATCCAAAAAAGGTACTCAAAAAGCTTCAAACCAGTTCAATGTTTTGTAATTTTGTGTAAAAAATAACATAGGCATGTGATAAAACGAATGGGTAAGATAACAGTCGTGCCTCCGTTATGGATAGAACGACTGTGACACAAAGATAACCTTTGGAATGTATGAAAACATTATCCTTAAAATACATAAAACAAAGATTGTAAAAGTCCAAGTGTGCACAAAAACATAAACACGAGAAAATTATATTACTAACATATGGGTAAGAGAACCTATAATGAGGCAAACATGGGTAGAGTAAGTGAATGTGAGCAGTAACTAAAAACAAATACATGAATAAAATCATAATACAACCATACGAGCAAGGAGCATGCATCGACACTAAACATCAGAAAGAAACAATACATACAACTGTGTGTTAGTTAGATTACTCATCAACCATAATATTTAAGCATCTACACTTTCCTATCTAATGTCATGTCTTTTAAAAAGGATGCTCCTCCATGTCTAACCACACAATATCCTCTCACTTCCTTCTAGTTCATCATTTCCTTCCTTTTTCATCAATCATCATTGATTCTACCCTCCTTACCAATACTGATGGTAGCCTCCTTTTGGCATGTTCATATCACATCCATCGCCCTTCTTCAGTTTGTCGATGATCCACACCACTCCCAACAAATTTCTAACATACCCACTCACTATTATGTCCAACAAGGTTCAACAAAATGTCCATCTTAAGATCCTCATTTCCTCTATTTCTATTTTCCTCTCATTCTCTTTTTTTATCAGCTAACATTATATGATCCATACAATAAGGCAATCCTAATAGCAACCCTGTAAAATATCCTCTTTAGTTTCAACGAGACCTTTCTATCACACAAGACTCCTGAGGTTGCCCTCTATTTTAACCAACTCGTCCTTTTGTAAAGGTTGACATTTACCTCCATACCTCAAACCTTATGGATCATAGACCCCAAATACTTGAAGCTCTTCATCGGGGGTAGAGCTTTCTACCCTATATTAATCTCTAATCCTTCAGTAATTGTCTCCCCGTTAAAATTATACCAAAGATACTTGATTTAAGCAGTGCTAATCCTAAGACCTTTCTCTATTGACCTAACCCTCCATGAGTCTAAACGAGAGTTCAAGTTAATCCTAGACTTGACAATCAACAAGATATCAACAACAAAAAACATATACCAAGGTACTTCCCCTGGATCTCTGATGACATCTCGTCCAATATCAAGGTAAAGATGTATGGGCTGAGAGTCGAACCTCGGTAAAGCCCATTTCCAACCGGAAACGACTCTTTATCTATGACAGGGGTTCGAACATACGTCATAGACTGACAATACATATCTCGAATAACCCTAGCATATATCATATGTGCCTCTTTAGCTTACAATGTTCTCTAATTACCTATCATGGTACGCTATCATAAGCCTTTTCAAGGTGTATGAACACCATATGCAAATATTTATTTCTCTCTATATATTTCCTTATAAGGCGTCTAAGAAGGTACATGGCCTCAGTCATCGACCTCCCAGACATGAAACCAAATCAGTTTTCTTAAAAAATGGTGATGATGCGTAACCTAGCCTCAAGTACTCTCTCCTACAATTTCATGGTGTGACTAAGTAGCTTAATACATATATAGTTCCTACTAGTCTGGGCATCACCTTTATTCTTATAAATTGGGATCATATTACTTAATCTCCCTTCCTTAGGCATCTTGTCTGTCTCAAGGACTATGTTAAATAAGTTTGTCAACCATCTAACTCCTTCCTCCCCAAGACATGTAATGTCCCAAAATTTAAAACCAAAAAATTCGTTTTCATCATAGTAAAACCATCAACCAAAACGTGTTCATAAAAACCATAAAAGAAAATCAGTGTATGTCAATCAATCATCCCAATACATCAAAGTCAAATAAAGTGGAAATCGTGGTGTGTGCGATGCGATCATCCCGAGCTCTTCCCATTCGATCCGAAAGCACCTGAAACATAAACTGAAAACCGTAAGCATGAAGCTTAGTGACTTCCCCATAACACCTTATACCATACATATTAACATACAATGAACCATGCCCGACAACCATCGGGCCCCGCTCAGAACAGATATATCAGTAACATGAAATGGGCCCCACCCCATCACACTCGTTAGTCCCTGCTGGGCATACATACAAACACATAAGATACATGTGATGTCGAAATATTGCTACACCTATTAGTTTACCAACTATCTACTTAACTATTACGACTTGAAGCAGTTGACCTTTTCGCAAATAATATAGCACAAATAGTCGGGTATCGAACACAGGGAACAAATTTAATTAACTAATTTAACTACTAAAAATTAACCTAAAAATAAACAAAAGTTTAAAATGTTTTTTTATATGATTTTACAAGTCTAGATAAACTTAATCACTTAACTAACAAATTCAATCAATTACTAAAACACTTCAATTTAGTTCGAATCCACTTCTCCTCTATGGTTAGCTACTAATTATGAATTATTAATGTTGGTTATCAAATATTATGTTATTAGCAATTCAACTCCAAATTTACTAATATTTTCACTAATTCATGTAAAACTATGTATAGTCGTACACTAGTAAACACAAAATCAGTTATAGAATGTAGATAAGCTATATAAGATTGATCTAAATAAACACAATTGTGGTCACAATTTATGTTCTCCAGCATAACTAAATTAGTTACTTTTATCACTTATCTAAAATTGGGTCGATCATAGCTCTAGCAATTTAATAGTCGCTAAACTACTAGGTAACAAGTTCATGTAATTTAATGGTCACTAAGCTACACAGAACCTGAATTTAAGCAATTAAAGTATCAAATATTAATATGCCAGGTAGAGATAATCAAACACAAGCACAAAAGCAACTTTATAAAATCCATAAAATAATAAACTAAACCATAGATTCAAGGTTTCATCTAGCTAAACGAAAGTAAACTAATTTAGCTACTCATAACTAAAATTAAACACACAAATTCAATAGAAATCGACATGACTAAATAATGCAAACCGAATGTAATAATTTGATCTTCAAATTATTAATCTTCAAGCACACTCTCCTTCTAAAGTATGTTTTTCGCAGGTTTCTAACCTCCAAATTCGAATGTCTCCAGAATATGTCTAAGCCAACCCCCTAAGTCAAATGAGCAAAGATATATATATATATATATATATATATATATATATATATATATATATCTATATATATATATATATATATATATATATATATATATATATATAGTTTCCAAAAATCACGTCACACGTCGTGAGAATTAAGTTCTCACATCGTGATCTCAGTAGAATTCGTGTTCGGCAAGGAAATTGCATTCCACGTAGCTATCTTCTAGAAGAATCAATCTCACGTCGTGAGATTATACTCCTCACGTCGTGAGAACTGGGAATTAGCATTTGACAAAAACGAAAGTCATCCGAAATTTTGTCTAGTTTTCAGACCGTTTTAAATCTCGTCAATCGGAGTTACGAGTCATGAGATATGGTCAAAATACTGACGAAGGGTCAAGCTGTCCAGCAACATCATTTTTGTGTCATTTTCAGCTCCAGTCCTCCAAGTATCCAACTTTTGTCGGTTTCAATCTTTTTCTTCGAGAATGTCCACTTTTGGCTGCAAAATACAGTTTAAACATTATAAGTACCAAATATCTTTGCAATTAACCAAATTATAGCTTAAAATGTATTAAAATACTGCCTATAAATGTGTATAAATATGGCACTAATCAAAATAGCCCACACTTATTTTTTGCTTGCCCCCAAGAAAAACTAATTATTTAAGTTAAACTTTCATTACCAATATCACATAAAACAATCCATTTTGAACTCAACCATTATACCAAGACCTCAATGAGCATATTTGTGTCTAAGGTTCCTAAAAACTTCACAATCCTAAATACTCATAATCCATTTTGAACTCAACCATTACAACTTTGATACTACAATGGAGCTCTTCGAATTCATCTCTTCTTTGATATTTGCCTTTTGATTTCTTTGAATTCACCACCTGCATGTTTGATTTTTGGCATCTTCAAATTTTTGATTCTTTAGAATTTTTCCTCTATTGATATTTATACTTTGATAGCTCCAAAATTCTTACAACTTTTGCAATTTCTCTCTATTTTTATATATAACTCACTTTTTTCGCTCAATTCCTAAATGCTTAAGCAATGGAGCTTAACTTCAACCTTTATTGATTAGAGGTATTAGTCTAAGTGTAATGACTACATAAGTTTCCCTAGATAGATTTCAGGCACACGTTGTAAAACTTATTATGCCATATAGACTACCAGATTACCTATTATATCTCATGACTTTTCACTAGGACTTGGGAAGCCACAAATATACTATAACATATGTTGGTTCAATAAACATTTGAGCTCGTATTGGATCATCCCACATAACACTAGCAACTTAAGGGTTTTTTTTTTTTTTTTTTTTTTTTTTTTTTTTTTAGTTAGCACTAGATTTCATAATAAACCATTTTTCAAGTTTAT